CTCCCCCTCCCACTACCGCGAAAGCTTCCAACTGCAGCCAGCATGCCCAGAACCACCCATACCGAGTCCTGGCACTGCACACGGTAGGCCCCGCCTTCTCCAGGAGGAGGTCTGTCTTTGCTCTTTCAACTACTGCTCCGTCTCAGTCCCACCCTTTAACACTTGATTCACAAGAACTGGTGCAGAAAGGGTAGTCATTGCCCCGAGAAGGGCGGGTGGTTTTCATGTTGTGACTGAAAAGCCAAAACCACGAGGAGTGAGGAGTGCTGTAAAATACAGTAACCCCAAGACAGGCTGACAGGAAGTTATCAGACAAGCACAGACTGCCACGCCAGGGGGCGGGGCGGGGCAGGGCAGGGGAGGGGCAGGGGCAAGGCTGCCATCTCCTTGACAGGAGCCCGGGTTCTGCCCCCCGAGCCAGCAGAAGGACATCAATGCCCAGAACTATGCCAAGGCACTGGGCCTTCAGAACTCCAGGGTGACACCACAGCCACAAGGCTCCAGGTTTTCACCAGAAATTTCATATGTGTGACCTAAGAATTCGACTATCGGAAATGCACATTGAAAATGTAAGAAAACCAGAGGCACTAAAAGTTTACTTCATTCCATCTCTAAGAGGCGTTAAATGCTCAGAAGGGTTTGCACACTGAGATCATGAATTTGCCTTATGAGACATTTACAGGACCACCAAGAAAAGAGAGAAAATAATTGGAGAAAGGGAATTTCAAAAACATTGGGCAGAATTAACCCACATTAAAAAATGGGAGCAGCAGTTAGCGTAATTGCTATGTTGGTGGACTCCCAAGCAGTCAACTGCGGTTCAAGTCCCGGACCCAGTGGCTTAAACTCACGCTGGCGCATGTGCGTGCGTGCCCAAGATCCCGAGAGGAGAATGGAGGAGAAGGGATTGCGGCATGGCCATCCCCCCCTGGGGGGGGATTTCTCACTTTCTGTCTTTCTGTCTCTGTCTTTCTGGCGAGCACATATGCCCTATAGCAAAAACCTCTCAAAAAAAAAAATAGATTTAATACATTCAACCTCAGTGAACTGGACATTAGTCAAATTAAAAAAATAAAGGTGCTTATTTTTACTTACTAGATTTACAAAGCTTTGCTGGATTAAATGAATATTTATATAACATTTATATAGTACTGAAAAATCTTGTCACTTTAAAAAATCATTTGGGGGTTAGACCCACACCGCCTAGTGTTCAGGGAGCCAGATCCCACATCGTGTGAATCCTAGCCCCAGGGACTTGAAAACTATGCCAGGCACATGTGTGTCTGTCCCAAACTCCAACAAGGCAGAGAAACCGCAGAAAAGGGACCTAAGGGTGCTTTCTCCCTGACCCCACCCCGTCCCTCTCGTGAGCACACATGCCTTTTGACAATGAAAACCACCAGCTTAGAAACTGGACACACTTTACACATAAACCTCTCCTCGTGGAAATAAAAACGCAACGTGTTCCAAAGCATACTACTTGTTCCCTACCTGCAATTACAACAGGGACAATGTAACTGAGGTCTGCAGTGTCTGTCTTCCAAAAATATTCAGAACACATATGTCTTGAGACCAGCAACTGGCATAATGGCTATGTCACTGGACTCCCACGTAGACGACTGCAGTTCAAATCCCGGTCCGGTGGCTTAAACTCATGCCAGGCACATATGTGTGCGCGCCCAAGATCCCAAGAGGAGAATGGAGAAGAAGAGATTGCAGCATGGCTAAACCCCCCGCAGGGAGTGATTTCTCATTTTTCCGTCTCTGTTTCTCTGTCTTTCTGGCGAGTACATGTGCCCTGTAGCAAAAACCTCTCCACAAAAAAAAAGAGAACACGTATGTCTCAAATAACTATAGGCAGACAAATTCTATTTGGGGCATCTCAGGGCCTATGAAATAACATGGACCATGAAAATCTGGAAAACTGTGCATTAAAGTGAAAGGCACTTTTGGGCCAGCAGATGGCATGGAAGTTAAGGTACTAGATCCTACACGGTTGACTAGTTTGAGTTCTGAACCCAGCAACTTGAAAAACACACCAGACACATGTGCGTGTGTGCACAAAATCCTGAGAGGACAGAGAAGGAACTGCAGTGTGGCCATCCCCCTGGGGGTGATTTCTCTCTCTCTCTCTCTCTCTCTTTCTTTCTGACAAACACATATGCCTTATAGTAAAAAGCTAAAAAAAAAAAAAAAAAAAGATAAAAACAAAAAAAAAAAAAAAAAAGTATCCTTCACCAATCTAATCTAAATAAATAATGTGCAAAGCTGCTTGTGAGAAAATTACTTTTGTGCCACACTGCGTTACAGACCCGCCACACAGCTGCATCCTTCAGGAGGTCACTTAGTCGAAGATAGCCGCTACGGTAGGGCCGACCGGAGCTGCACTGCCTGAGCGCCTCGCGGCAGCGTTGGAAAGACCCATTTGTGCACCCAGCTCGTTTGAGAATTGGCATCCGTACACTAACACCGTACGCCCACTCCATCATCACCGCTGGTTAAAGAAGCTACTTACTTCGTGCCATCAAACACAATGGATCTGACTTGACCACACTGCCGAAAGAGAGACTGGAGCTGTTTATAGTAAAGGAAGCCATAGGGAGGAATGTGCTTCAACTGGAAAACAGAACACGGCATCAGTTAGAGCAGGTCGCGGGAGCGCTAAGGGACAGCCGCCATGTCGGCCAGCGCAGGCCACTGCACGCCCAGCACCTCCACAGAGCAGTGTGTGTGGTGACCCAGTGACTTTCAGGACTAAGTTTACTGATTCATATGCGGAATAGAGACTGAGTCTTCCTAATAAAATGGCTCAACAGCCTGATATGGCAAAACTAATTCTGTTTACTTCTGTTTTACCTTAAGATGACCAACTGACTACATCTTTTGAAACATAACCTTTTTCCATGAGAAATAATGGGAACTTAAACCTTAAAGAAGCATGCACGCTGGGAACCAGCAGTTAGCGCAATGGCTATGTTGCTGGACTCCCACGTAGTCGACCGCGGTTCGCGTCCCGGACCTGGTGGGCTTAAAACTCACACCAGGTGCGTGTGCGTGCGTGCCCAAGATCCCGAGAGGAGAATGGAGGAGAAGGGATTGCAGTGTGACCATCCCCCCTGGGGGGGTGATTTCTC